TCACAAAATAAACAGAAAACCAGGAATGTGACAAAAAGCTGGAATGCTTTTCCATAGCAGGACTGAGCCGCCCTTACTAAGTCTCTTGGTAGTGCCATAGCTGCTTCACAGAAACTAATGATAAAAAGGAGAAACAAATCTAAGGGTAGTCAGTAGTTAGACACATTTTATACTTTAATCTATTAAGAATGACATTGTTTTCATTGTTAGAAAACCCAGAGCAAAGGATAAATGGCTTATGAGCAATGGGGCTGGTCAGCAAGGAAGCTAAGTGTGGCTTCATCTCTTTCAAGAAGGAAACTGAGTGTGATTTTGGTCCCCACTCCTTACCTGATGTTCAAGGCCCCACAAAAATAATCTAGCTACATTATCTATTCCTACTATTCTCTGACATAAACTAGTTGCTACCCCCCAGTTCAGGTCTCTCCCTGTCCACTGAGCACACTTGGGGAATCCTGTCTCCCTGCATGTGCTCTGAGTGACTTCCCAGAAGGCAAGCCCTCTTCCGCCTTCTTACCTCCATCGCCCACTGGTAGGGCTGTTGCCATCCACCCAGCCCATGATGCAATCACTGGCCACCTCAGCCCCCAAATAGCAATTCTTCCCTTCAACTCCCATTGCATTTAATGCCGTGTTTCATTTGGCACTTGCCTTTGTCCTGCTGTTTTTGACATAGGATATGGTCCGATCTTATCTCCCCAGCTAAACTGCCTGCTCCTCGAAAGAAGAAACCCGATTCCTATCTCTCACTGCATAATCCCCCAAAGGGCCTGGCAGGGTAGCTCTGTGTCATGAACTCAGGGCATCACTTTCCATTTATCCCTATAAGTTTAAGGACAAAAAGACAGACGTGGGAAGGGAAGAAAGGGGGAAAGGAAAAATTGTGTAAAGACTTGCAAAACTTTTGGGCATTTGTATTTTGGGAGGATAGATTTTAACCTTAAAAGAAAGTATAGAGATGGATTGTCCTCTTTCTCTGAGAGGAATTCAAGCAGAGTGCTACCGGTCACCTGTTTCTGATTTGTGATAAGGATATATTTGTACACCATCAGGCGTGGACTGGGTGGGCCTCTATGAAATAAGGCCCAAAGCCTGAGAGAAGCCCCATTCACAATCCCTCCTCTTCCTCTCATCACCTCTGCTAGGGCAATGCTGACAGAAACACTCACATTTCCTGTACAGTAGCTCTGATCAATGGCAACTGTATCAAAAG